CAGGTGGGTGGCAGTGGGAAGCTAAGTTAAATACATTTGATGTACTTAACACCTTCTTTACCATGACCAGGCAACACAAAGCCACTAAAACAAGATCCTGTGTCTAATAATACCTAGCAGGGTCCTATACAAGTGAGAGGCGGTATGATCAGTTACAGAAGCAGAGAATCCTCAAGGCCATGCCTCTCTTTCCTGTTCAACAGTCTAGCAGCCTCCAGTTGCAGTTCTTACCCCACTCAACACTCTGAATTTCTTCTGCAAGTTCAGAACCACCTTCATCGTTTTCTTTGCAAAGCTTGATTATCCTCTTGCTAGATTGCCCATGCTATGTAAACAAGTGGGTCAGCTGGAGGCGTAGGCCGGTTTGATGCAGGGAAAAAAACCAATTACCCTTTCAACTTCTTTCTGTACAGCACTGGGCATTTTTTTCTTTCCAGTGTGAAGTCAAATTACGAAGGAATGTGAAATGCTTAATGTGGTCGCTGAAGCACTACAGCATACATTACATGTTCTGGTCAACCAGAGATTCAAGCAGGGAAATGCTTATCTGGCTTGTGAACTGCGTCTTGAATTACATGAACACGTGCAGCCATATATCTGTGCCCATTTTAAGACAAAAGCAAAGGTTTATACATGTTCATGCGTTACAATGTGAACATGTGGAGAGCATGTGTGATGAATTAACATGGACCTCAAATGTAACTCCTTAATGCAGGTCTAATAAGGGATGGCATTTTGAATCTGGCTCAATATGGAACCCTTTTTAAAAGAGCAAAATGGTTGAAGTTAAAAGAATACAGTAAAAACAAAACAAAACACTTATTTCATTTCATTTTATTGTTATTGTTAGCTTTTCTCTTTTTCTGTATTCCCTGTTTTTGTTTAATAATTACACACCCACCATGCTATTGTTTTTAGGATTCGGTAAAGAGTATGTTTCTGTCATTGCAGTGAGATCATAAAGTTATGAGTTTACCTGAGCTAAGACATTTGTTTGAGAGTGCAAAACCCATCCACACATCCGCACCAAACATTTAAAGCAGATAGCTTCCCCCTAAAATCCTGGGAACTCTAGTAGTTTACCCCTTACTGAGCTATGTTTCCCTTCACTTTTAACAAACTGCAGTTCTCAGGATTCTTGTGGCAGGGGGAGAGGAGCCATATGCTTCAAATGCACGGTGTAGATGTGAAAATACATTATTAAACTATGATCCCCCCATAACCATATACTTCTTTGAAGTATCAGTCTTTTCCTAATCCTTGATTGATGAATAGAAGGCATCAAAACTGATCTTAACAACATGTACTAAGCAGTAATCCCCACGGAAAAGCAATGCTAACTTCTGAATAAACACGCATAGAACTGTGCTGCAAATTACATTTGTGGCCTAAGGCTTGGGGCAGCAGGGGAGAGCTAGGTTCCAGATGTAAAACATTGGGAATGGGATAAGGCATCTCCATCCAAAGACTTTAGAAATGGGCTCTTTGCTGATCGCAATTAACCTTGCTTTGCAGTTGGATTCTTTCCAGCTCTGCCAAGGCAGCAGATGACAGCAACAGAGGCCTTTCTGAAGCTGGAGTTTACTTTTAATCACAGCCTGCACATATGTTGAATGTTGGCAGGCTTCCTCGCGGAGCAGCCTGCTTGTGACAGGCAAAGCTGAATAGCAGGAGGTGATCAGAACACGCAAGAAGCCTCTTGTCTGTTCCCGGGAGACGCACAGAAATAGCTTCCTGTTAACTGAACCAAGGTATCACAGGTGGGGGCGAGTGCGGGTGGGGAAAGCCTATTAGAGGGATGTACCAACATGCAGCACAGTCCTGGGCGATTGAGATCTGCAATTCATTGACCACTGTGTTGTATTACGGGCTCCAGGATTGTGGCAGACAATCTCAAGATTCTCCTGCTGAGCTCAAGGGTGGGGAAGCTGTGACCCTGCAGATGTTGTTGGACTACAACTCCCACCATCCCTGACCTTTGGCCATGCTGGCTGGGGCTGATGGGAGCTGGGGACTGAGAACATGTAGAGAGGCAATGGCTCTGAACCCCCAGCTATAGGCAACATACAAAATGGAGGTGGGTTGAGCATGCCAGCCAAATTTGTGCTTGAAATATATATTGTTGAAGACAAGGGGAGAGAGACCCTTCTTGTTTTTCCCTTTAGGATACCTGGTTTTGCACCGGAACTAAGCCAACTGTGCAAGACCTATCTTCATTATGTCCCAAGGGCAGTGTTTGAAATTGACCAGGTGCATTTTGCACCTAGCTATTGGCCACACTAGCAGCACATCCAGTAGAATTTTATCCATGCTATTTTATCTGCACAATCAGAATGAATTTCAGGAACCAAAAAAGTTGTATTGAAAAACATGACTTTTAAGCCTTCTTGCCCCCAAATGGCAACTGGACATTCTGTTTTGGCGACTATAACCCTGGTTTAAGGAGCAATTTGGCGCCTAGCTTATATATCTGAGTTTCTAACACTGCCCAAAGGTGGGGAGAGATGTTGAGGTGCAGGCTCAACCAAAAGCATTTTGTTTTCCGATGTCATGGACCCTCCTACCATTCTTTGTGCAGAAGCCAACCAGAGTAGCCTCAGCTCTGGCAACAGGGCATCTTCTACTGCACCTGAGGACAGGAAGGGGGTGCAGGGCATGTTCATAGGTGGGGACCAATGGGGCACTGCTCTGGGCAAGCTCCCACCTTGCCTACCTTGCTTCATACAACCAGCCTGAGAGGTTGGCCTTGGCTGTCAGCTCCCTCAACGTTAGTCCAAGTTTTACCCTTCTAGAACTAGTGAGGGGATGGGGACAAAGCTAGAACTGGTTGGTTCCACCTGCCATTGTCTCTGGCTCCACCTACTGTTGGCCTCCATGCATTACATCCGCTGCCAGCCACGACTGTGTGGCACCAACCGCTCTGCCCTCCATCACCTTGCAGCCGTTTCCCAACCCCCTCAAGCATTTACCCCCGAGGCAGGCACCTCCTTCTACCTCATGGGATTGCCAATCCCATAAAGCAAACGTTTCCTGGAGAAAAAGTCCTTTAATCCTGCCAAGCATGTGAGCAACAATTACTGATTTCTCACTTGCCAGAAACGGATCGTTTTGGAGAGGCCCCAAAGTGCCACCATTTCAAGGTTGAGGTTTCATGGAGGTTTTAAACTGACAGACAGCCCAGCACCAAACCAGAAGAGTGAAAAGCAGATGCCATCTCCCAATAGAAAGAAGCACTGGGTTGCACAGGGTTTTGTACTACATTTTCGCTGACTGCAGTGCGCCATGTGCCAAAGGCAGAAGCCCATGATTCTTGGAGGCTAACTGTGGACAAATGGTGAATACATTGGCACAGAAAGCAGAATGAATTGCAGTGACTGAATATCCAAATTTTTAAAAAAGCCTCATTAGGATGTGGATAAACCTTTAGCTAAGCTGTTTGCCACTGATGCTAACTGAATGTGTGACCTAGAACAGGCTGAGGGTGATTTTTTTTATGGCCCAGTAGGCAGAAGATGCATCCTCAAAAATTTGGCAGTTTCTTCATACCTCCTGAGAACACTATAGTAGTAGATAATAAAACACCTGATCCAAGAGACATCTGTTGTCTGTCACTGAGAAGCCAAGTATTATTTCTCCATGTGTTTTACCTTGCCCCCATCATATCTCATATTGACCACTTCATTTATCAAAGAATCATAAAACTGTAGAGTCATCTAATCCAACCCCTTGCAGTGCAGGAATCCTACCCAAGGCCATCCCTGGGTGAGCTCAAACCATCAACCTTCTGGCTAACTGGCAGAAGCAATGGCCCCTTCTGGCCTTTTGCTGTCTCACCTTTGTCCATTCACATCCATCCAGCACTTTGAGTGCCCAAGTCATTCTCATGTCATTCTGACAATGCAACTCTCTGCCTTAAATCTCTTTGCTAGTTTCCCATCCACTCCTGGATCCTGCCCTAGCTTCTTGTCCTCCCCTTCGCAAGCTACCATGGCCTTGCTCCTGTTTATGTCACCTACTTAATGACAGCATAATCCATTCCTTTCTCCCAGAACTTAGTAAGAATAGGGCATTGCAAAAACATGTTCTTTTAAAAAAGCATTAGCTTTCCTACATCTTTAACAAAATGCTGACTTAGAAAATCCTTTTCTTTACAAACATAGTGGAGTCCAATGAATGCTAAACATTATTTTCTGTTGTGTAAGCTCTAATTTAAGGTACACTGACACCATTGCTATGGAAGCTAAAACACCCACTCTCTCATTGTCTAGGCAGTATAGACAATGCCATTATTTTTATTATATAATTTATACTCCAATTATTTATTTCATTCAGTTCTTAATAGCAGCATATAAAATTGATTTATTTATAACAAATATCCATATAGAGTAATCTGGGCTTTTTTTATATAGTTTTTAAGATATTTATTCAGAAACTCAAGATCTACCTTCCAAACATACCTGCAAACACACTCTAAGAGCATTTACTCAAAGGTAATAACACTGAGTCACAGAACAGTAAGTATTTGAGAGGCTGTAGCTGGCAATTGGAAATAATAATAATAATAAACCAATAATGGTAAAGATATTATTATTATTATTATTATTATTATTATTATTATTATTATTATTAATTTATTGTGCTTCCAATATTAGGATATCATCTACCAACGGAGAAGAAAGAAGAGGAACAAAAAAAAATGAAAACGAAAAGCGCCACGTGATCAGTTTTCTCTAACCAATTGGAAACGCCGCGGGTTGACAGGCAGTTCCGGCAGGGTCAGACGAGCAACGTTTTAAAGAACGCGGCCCTTTCAGCCAATGAGAACAAAGAGGAGCAAAGGCGAATGGGAGGAAAAGGGGGGGCGGAGGACAACGAGCGGCGGCGCTACTGGTTCCCGCGTTCGGCAGCTCTTTGTTGCCGGAACGCTCAGCCAATGGAAGGGCAGAGCGGGCGGAACGTCGCCGCAGCTTCCCGCGGTTTCTTGGACACAGTTTAATTCGACGGCAGACGCCGGGGGGGGGGGGGGAGCGTTCCGTCCTGTGATTGGGCGGCCGGGCGTTCTGGCGCCAAGTTCGAAGCGCATATAAAGCAGCAAGCGAACCGGGGCCTCCTTCCCACAGCCATCCGCACCCACCGTTGCGAAGGGTTCCTGCCGCCGCCGCCTCGCTCTTTGCCTCGCTCGCCGCCGGCCATGATCTCCTCCTCCGCCCGCAGCCCGCTCTCGGCTCGCAACGAGCAGCAGCAGCAGCAGCGCCTCAATTCGCGACTGCCGGCGCTGAAGGATTTGGCGCTGAAGGACAAGGAGAACACGGTGGGTTGAGAAGGGGGAACCGGGAGCCCGTCGGCGGGCTGGGGAAAAAGGGCTTGTTTTCCTTCCCGCGCAGTCCAAGCGCCTTCCCTTAACTTGATTAATGCGCCCAGGACAACCAAGGCCTTTTGGGGGGGGAGGGGGAGTCGATCCCCCTCGTTATCCTTATGCCCCTTAATTAGTCCTTGCAGCATAAAAGTCCATGGCGAGTCGTCAAAACCGAGCCCCCCCCCCACAGAATCAGAATTGTAGAGTTGGAAGGGACCCCCCCCCGGGTCATGTAGCTCAACCAGATCACCCCTGACAGACGGCAGAAGTCTTGGAGGTGTTCTTCATTTTGGCGCTTCCTTTACTTCATTGAAAAGGAAAAGCGACCTCCCTCTGTTCTGCCTTCGCACCTTAAAAAGCGCGCGGTTTTAATCGGTCTTTTGTGTCCCTCTTCTTGGGGTCCTGCAGCCTCCGTCGCTCAGCGCTACCCGGGTCCTGGCGTCCAAAACGGCGCGGAAGATATTTCAAGAGCCCGGCCTTGAGGCGGTGAGTCCCATCTTGGGAGGAGGAAAGCGGACTTGGTGGGGGAGGGGGTGCCGTTTATGGGAGGAGGTGTTAAAATCGGGGGGGGGCGCGCTTGATCTCGGGGGTCTTTTTGTGGCGAGGAGGCTTCTGTTCCCGCCGTCATACGAGTTGAAGGGGGCGCTGCTTAGCTTCCCCGGCTGAGCATTTGGCGCCAAATGCTCGAATTATACAAAGGAACAGGAAGCCCCGACCGCCCCCAGGAAAGGGTGGGGCGGGGGTTGAAGCATTAGCCTCTGGGTTGCTATAACCGACATTTTCTCCTAGGTGAAGTCCTCTGCCCAGGTTTCAGCCTGTAGCTTTAAGGCTTAGATTCTCCTACTTTCTACTTTGTCATTATTAATTAGGTTTATCTGCTCGCCTTCTGTGACTGCTTCTAAGTGGTTCATAAACGTAAAACGAATGCGTGATTAAAGCACACAGCAAAGGAAGCAATTCTGTCAGAAGCACTTCTGTATAGAACATTTGCTAAAGCAAGCCTGCTGTAAACAATAATTAAAAAGGGAATTTTAAAAGTTGGATCAAGAAGATCTAGTTCAGGGGAATGCATGGCTGAATGAGCCTGTCTCTAAGCACGGACAGAATGCCAGTGTGGGTGGGTATTTCCTTTAGGTTCCTATGTCTCCAAGAGAGATCTGAGCTCACAGTGTTTAAGGGCATCCAAATTAGCATTATATATTGGCTGTCCAATTAATTTTCACTCTTAAGTCTAGCCTGTTCTACCTCCATCCCATCTGCTTTGCCCATTCCTTTTGTTTCTAATTTTTTGTCAAAATTCTACCTGGGTTTAAATCAAACGTCTCTTTCCTTGTGTTTCACTCCTTGGTAATAATCCCACCCATACTTAATTGTGTTATACATTTTGCCTCATAACTAAAGTTCCTGATGTAATTCAAGTTCCACTCCATAGCTCTCTTGTCATTGTTTTAATTCAGTCTTATTTCCTTACTTCATTTTTAAGCCCATGGCCTGCTAATAATAATAATTATTATTTGCATGCCGCCCATCTGACTGGGTTGCCCCAGCCACTCTGGACAGCTCCCAACAGAATATTAAAAGCATGATAAAACATTAAAAACTTCTCTAAACAGGGCTGCCTCCAGATATCTTTTAAAAGCCAAATAGATGTTTATTTCCTTGACATCTGACAATGGTTTTAAGCTTTCCATCACTTACCCTGCCCATATGCCCTTGTCAGCCTTTCATTTTTGAGTAGAACCCTAGACCAAGATGGGGAGCACCTTCAAAGCCCTTTTTCCCAGATCATCCACCTACCTTAATATACAATATCAGCTGTGGAGCAGTGAGAGAAGCTGCTTCCAATGAATCATTGCAGTGTGTTCCAAGTTGTTTCTTGGCAAGTGAAGTTTGCTCTTGGCAGCAATCAGATGATTGGCAGTGAAAGCAAGCCCATTGGGACCAACCACACTATGGAGATCCTGCTGGGAAACTCTAGTGCTCCTGGTTCTTGGTCTTGGTGGTTACAATGAGCCCCAAAACAGCTTGTTGCAAACACAAAGTGGAGGTAGAATTTCCTTGTTACTCCTTTTTCATTTCCAGAAAGGAGATATTTGGTCCTTGCATTCATGTATTCTAGGAATGGGTTGATATATTACATTTGTGACTTTAGGATGCACCTAAAGGAGTGACACAGCTGCCTTCAAACAGTGTACAAGATGAACCCCTGCTTCGGGAGAATCCCAACCGGTTCGTCATCTTTCCCATTCAGTACCATGACATTTGGCAAATGTACAAGAAAGCAGAAGCATCCTTTTGGACGGCTGAAGAGGTGAGAGGCGTGTGTTCCCTCCTTCTAGGTTTGAGTGGATGCAGGCATGATAGCAGACAGCATTGCAGTCATATAGGCATATTTCAGATTCTCCCTTAACATTGCTGCATTTTCATTGGCTGCTTTGTATATTTAGGTGGACCTCTCCAAAGATCTCCGGCACTGGGAATCCTTGAAGCCTGAAGAGAAATATTTCATTTCACACATCTTGGCGTTCTTTGCTGCAAGTGATGGCATTGTCAATGAAAATTTGGTAAGTATGCAGAATCACTTCTGGGTTCCATAGTAACCTAAAACTACCCTCTTCATGTTTCCTCCTATCCAAGCTATGTATAGACTACCAATATATTAATCCATAACATCCAGAGTGGAGAAACGAGCATGTCATCTAGCCTGGTTTAAGTAATAGTTTAGAATAGCAATTAGCATAGCACCACCAATGAGCAAAGTGTCCTAACTTTTAAGGCCTAATAATTTTATTTAGATTGCAAGCCCATCTTAAATTATAGCCTCACGTACCTCTAAATGTGATCAATTGGAGTCAATCTGCAAGTCACAGCCATGTGTGCACCCCTTTTGACAACTGCACATTGAGCAAGTGATGTGGAACAACACCCATGGGTTCAAGTTGACTTTCTCCTGCACCAGCACAGTGTTTCATTCTGTCACTAGATTTTTCTTGGGCTGTTAAATTCAAACACTTCCTTAGAATGAGGATTGAGAAATTATCAATTTAATGTCATATTTAGCAATCGGGAAGATACCCTCACAAGGTGAATCATGAAACTAAAGAAAAATTATTTCCACCGCTTCCAAGTCTGGAAATGAAGCTCATCTAAATCTCTGGGAATCAATGATTAATAACAATGAATTATAAGGGGATGCAATTTAGAAAGTTCTAATCTTTTTCTGGCACACAAAGAAGCTTTCGATAATGTGCTCTAATGCAAATAAAGCATTTGTTATGAATCAATTTCATTCTTACACTGAGTAACAAAGATATTATTTGCTTAGCATGTTACTTTCACTGAATCTGCTTCAAGCTTTATTTGCTGCTGTTTCTGTGCCTTCGGAGATGAACATCATAAGTAGTAGTAGTACACCATCCATCTGACTGGGGTGCCCTATCCTCTTGCCAATTTCATCTGAATGTTTTTTAGAAATGTCATGGAACTTCAGCTCTAGCTAAGAGATCCAGGATAACTTTAGTGGATGAATGAAATTTTCGCATAAATAGTCAAACTGTCAGGAAGTAGCTGCCCACAGAACACCTGCTTAAGACAGAGTTCTGCTTTGTTTAGAAATATGGGCAGAATTGAGGTACCTTTGTCCCTGGCAGATAGGTACCCTTTTACTCTAATTACCATGACTCACTTTTGCTTTTTTTGGAATTGGCCCAAATGCATGTGGAATCTTTGTGCCGTCATACACTTGTCATAGCCATGTACGAAATTGTGGTAGAGAGCTTAAGCTGACCATTGGATGTCTGCAACATCAAATGATGGCTTGCATATGTGAATGAGCCTTCATGGATATAGCACTAGATAAATCCCTCTGATGCTTTTCAATGGAGTTGACTGATATATTAAGTTGTCAGACATCAAGTATAGAAAAGTGAAGTGATTACATTGTGAATAAAGCCCAGAATGGCATAAACCCACATTCATTTCTTGAATCAAACCTGGTTAAAACTGTCATGGAGTTAGTGCATACAGAAATGTGTTTGGTACGTTAAGCAACAAAACTGGTGAGAGTACCTTTCTGTTGGATGAGTTTAATCAATAGCTTAAATATGTGAAAGCTTTTTGTGCTTCTCAAAAGTCTTCATTAGGCAAATGGAATATTCAGTTCATACATGAGTAGCCCATGTTTTTCATATTCCATGTGAGATGGCATGGCTATCGGGGTGGATCTACACACAGGAAGAAAACCCACTATAAATAAGTCAGAAATTAGATCATAACAAAAGGGGGGGAAACCCTATGGAAAATTATGTAGAAAATTTCTTTGCTCTCTGGCGCCATCTATTGTTGCACACTTATAACACATTCAAATTATTGTTTCTTTTACTAATACTGTATAGCTGAGTCCCAGGTTTCCTCTTTTCCAGAGGGAAATAGTTATGGAAAGAGTATTGAAAACCGAAGTCAAACATTGTTTTTTGTGTCCTCACACTATTTTTCAATAAGAGTATGACAATTGCCTTTCAGTAGATCAGAATTTGGGTGCTTTGAATTTTTGCTGTTTTAAAAGCTTGGATGAAAAGTTTCCTGCTACTCCTAATACCTCAGCTAGATCTTGAAAAATCTCATGGCTAGGTAATACTCTAAATTTCCATTCCAAAAAAAAGTTACATTACCTTATATCTTCCTATCTAGGTTATCCCCACCCCTTGCTGTAATATTCCACTTGCAGAGATGTTTGTGAATCATGCTATCTCATTACTTGACCAATATGCTGCTGCATAATCTGGCATCTGTCAGACATACCTTGCCATCAGCTTTTGCTGGTGGGGTGTCTTTCTGAAAAACTTTTCAAAAGTAGTATCATTTATAACTGAAATGGTATGTTGTGTCCTCTAGGTGGAGCGATTCAGCCAAGAAGTGCAGGTCACAGAAGCTCGCTGTTTCTACGGCTTCCAGATTGCCATGGAAAACATCCATTCAGAAATGTATAGTTTACTTATTGATACTTACATCAAAGACCCCAAAGAGAGGTTAGTGCTGTTTTGAGACAAATCTTTTCTTATTCTATAGTGATTTTTTAAAAAGAAAGTATATGCATAAATATTTTAAATATTAAAACGCTTCAAAGTCTAGGTCATGTTTTTTTAAAAGTTCATGCTTTTTTAACTTACTAGCATTGTAGGAGGACACTTGATTCTCTTACAAAACATGCAAAAAAAGTCCTACCTATTCAACGTTCTTGTATTTTTCACTGCAATAGACTGTAAAACAGCATTGACTTTGGCTGTATAATTTGTATTGATTTCTTTTAGTTAGGCTGCTTTCTCTAATTCCTGGGTTCTAATCCTTGCTAATTTCTGGTCTCTTTGTTTATCGGCCTAAGGGAGGGAGGGCTACAAATCTCTCATTACAACAGATTGTACACTTAGCTGTGTTATTGTATCATTTTAGGGAATTTCTGTTCAATGCAGTTGAAACCTTGCCTTGTGTTAAAAAGAAAGCCGATTGGGCCATGCGCTGGATTGGGGACAAACAGGCAGCATACGGTGAGTGTTGCACTCGGTTCTCCTTTCTGGCACATCCATCCTTTTCCAGCGTCTGACAAGTCTCATCACCCAAATCAACAACGGGCTTTTCTCCCAACAGGAGAACGAGTTGTAGCCTTTGCTGCGGTGGAAGGCATATTCTTCTCTGGCTCTTTTGCATCTATATTTTGGCTGAAGAAAAGAGGATTGATGCCTGGGCTCACTTTCTCTAATGAACTGATCAGCAGAGACGAGGTAAGGCTTCGCACTTCCCATTTAGCTAATCAAACTATTTTGTTCCTGCTCTCCCTGATGCTTAAAAGGCGTAACACAAAAGGAAAAGGGATTGGGAGGGAGGAGGAAAAAGAAAGCAAATGTGGCAACTAGTTCTTAAAGAATTCTTAAATGTTTTCTGTATGGCAGGCAGAGAGGGAAGAAAGCTGCCTGCAGCTGCTCCTTCTTTGGCTGATGGACAGAACGGGGGGGGGGGGTTTCCTCCCCCTTGCTATGGTACTCTTCCTGGGAGTCTTAACTTCCCTTGGACCCCTGGTATGGCAAAAGCTGGGGTGTTAACCCTTCAGCTCTGTAGCCCCAGGGCAAATTGTAGGTACCGTTTGCCTTCGCTTTCTGGAAGCCGCCACCCCAGGAAATTCATTTAAATGTTTCACAGTATCTAATTATTATTGATGACTTGAGCACATAACTTCCACCTAAAGGTTAATTCTGCTAGATGGAGGAAAGTTTGAGAGGAAAGCTCACCGAGAATGAATTTAATTTGCATTGCTGGCAGCCATGGAAAACTGAAGATCGCCCAAAATATTGTTCATATGGAACCTATGCAGAAACCTTATTACTTGTTACATCTACAGCCACTCTACTGTTTCAGGCTTTTCAGGTTTGCTGATGATAAAGAGGAAAACTGCATTCCCCCCACCCCACCCCACAGCAGTTCTCTGAAATATCCCAATTATTTTTTTTCCCAGGGCTTGCACTGCGATTTTGCTTGCCTAATGTTCAAGCACTTGGTACACAAACCATCTGAGGAAAGAGTGAAGGAGATCATCACTAATGCTGTCAGGATAGAACAGGTAATTGGCAAGTCTTTCTGGTGGTGGTAAAAAGTGCCTGAAGAAAAAGGGTACGGAAAGCTTAAAAGTTAGCAGGGCGTTAAATTGTCTAGATGGTGTAGGATTTGCATACTTACATACTTGTTCACTTAAATGCAGGAATTCTTGACGGAAGCACTGCCTGTAAAGCTAATTGGCATGAATTGCACTTTAATGAAGCAGTATATTGAATTCGTAGCAGACAGACTGATACTGGAACTAGGTTTTAACAAGGTAAGTTCTGTGCTGTTTGCTTCTTAAGGGATGAACATTAAGCAACTGCTCTCTGGCTCGTTAGTGGAAATTTGTGATTAAGAAACAGACTAATTCAGGGGTGCAGTTTATTTATTTCAATTTATGTTCTGCCAAAATGCACTCAAGGTGAACATGCATTATAATGCTTTTTTGTACATAAGTCGTTTTGATTATCATATTCAAGGGATGTTCCCTTTTACATATAACTGAACCTTCCATCCGTGACTTGTGGATTTCATGTTCTTAATGCTAAATCTGCTGGGTTCTTTTTGCAGTGACTCACTGTTATGCTTGCATAGTCTTGCTTAATTTTTCTAGAGGCCCTTGGTCTATTGATTCTTTTTATATTTACAAAGCAAGGGTCCATACTGGTAGAGAGGAGGTCCCTAAATGGTTAAGGCATAAATTTGCACTTGTTGAATCAAACAAAAACAAAAATCCACTTGGTCCAGAACTTCTTGCAGTGATTCCAGTAATCTGCAGGTCATAGGTGATCCACGAGACATTAGCCAGCTAAGCAATGATGGACGATGGTCTTGCCTTGCTCTGCTCAGTAATTAATAGGCAGGTTATACATGAACATGTACCATTCAGGGTAAAGGTAAAGTAAAGGGACCCCTGACCATTAGGTCCAGTCGTGACCCACTCTGGGGTTGCGGCGCTCATCTCGCTTTATTGGCTGAGGGAGCTGGCTTACAGCTTCCGGGTCATGTGGCCAGCATGACTAAGCTGCTTCTGGCGAACCAGAGCAGCGCACGGAAACACCATTTACCTTCCCGCCAGAGCGGTACCTATTTATCTACTTGCACTTTGACGTGCTTTCGAACTGCTAGGTTGGCAGGAGCAGGAACCGAGCAATGGGAGCTCACTCCGTCGCGGGGATTTGAACCGCTGATCTTCTGATCGGCAAGTCCTAGGCTCTGTGGTTTAACCCACAGCGCCACCCCCGTCCCTTAGCATTCAGGGTAAGATACAGGCAAATAAAAAATGGATACTTCTGTCAGGGAAAGCAGGAGAGAGCAGATGAGTCTTAAGAAATTGCTTAAATTTTATAGAACTGGAATTCAGGTGGGAGACTTACAGATACAAGCTGGGGGATCTAAAGATAGTACAGAATGAACAGAAACCAGGATGCTATGGACCAGGAGATAAGAGGTGTAATTTTACTCGAGTCAAATGCACCATGGAACCAATGCGCACCTCAATTTTCAGAACCTTGAAACAAAAAAAAAGTATTTGCTGGCAAATGTAAATGAGCAATTGAGTCTAATGCGCACCCCAATTTTCACAACGTAATTTGGCCAAAAAAAGGTGAGCATTAGATTCAAGTAAATACGGTAGGTTGTTTGGGACTAGATGTTAACAAGGTTATTTGTATGACGTTCAGCATTTCCTGTCAGATTGTGTATCCTAGATAAGACCCATAAGTTGTCAATTTTATTTGTCTTCAGATATTCCAAGCTGAGAATCCATTTGACTTCATGGAGAATATCTCACTGGAGGGTAAAACTAACTTCTTTGAAAAGCGTGTGGGAGAATATCAGAGGATGGGGGTGATGTCGAAACCTACAGACAACTCTTTCACTCTGGATGCAGACTTCTAAATTGAACCCAAGACTGTTTTGGGGTTTGCTTGAAATAGCTAGCAGTCTGTCCAGTTGTCCTCAAAATCCTTGCTCTTATAATGTGTGGTGGTACTTTAGAAAAGTTTGGGAATTTTGTTTGTTTCCGGTGCTGATAAATGTATTTGTACAATACATGGGTCGCTTGATTATCAGAAATATCGGTGCTTGCTGGTCTGTTCCGTTATCTGGTCATAGGTCACCAGTAGTTCCTCCACAGAAAAGCAAGTTATACGGGGTGCTATGTAGAAAATGGCAGTTTCAGGGCCTCTTCTATGGGTTGTAGACAAGCTGCAGAAGCTACATAACCACATTGCCTCTTAGCAGGTTTTAAGTCTTTATTTACTATTTTAATAATTTGTACATAGATATGGCACTTTAATAATAAAGGTCTGTCCTACAATTCCTTGAAAAGGCTGTGGTAATGTGGGAGTTTAGAACGAACTCTTTTTAGACTGCTTTTCATCTTCATTTCTCTGATTTACTTGCATGTAAATTAAATACCCAAAGTGCTGAAATGAAAATCTCTCGGATGTGTATGGCTTCCGATAAAAGTAGTCTTTGTATAGAAGTAAAAACTTGAATAAAGCTCCAGTTTTCAAACTGCTGGATCAAATGCTGTTGAGTTGCACCTTTTTCTCTCTTCCACCACCAGCTTTCCTTGCTGGGCTTTTAAAACCTGCTTGCTTGAGCCGCAATTGCTTCTAGCCCTGTTCTGAATGACCAGTGTTTTGGGATATAACTACTGTAAAGGCCTACACTTCCTTCCCATTCGGGAGGGGGGATGGTGAGGTATTTCTGGCAATGACCTCTGTGTGTGTGTGAATGGCTGAATATGAACAACCGTTGAAGGCAAAAGGGGGGGGGGAGTGGGCAAATAAGTAAATTGAGTTTGCTTTATTGAAGGGGGAAAGCTTTATTATACAGACTTACATAAAGCCATCAAATTGATGTACAAGTCTAAAAGCAATGAAACACTCTAAAAACCTTAAAATGAATCCAGCGAAATAAAAACAAACCATTGTATGCTCTAAGAACGGAACAATATCCTCATATAAAGCTGATATTCCATAAATGTCTGGGTTACGACTCGGGGGAAGCCAGCCTTCCTAAACAAAACAAAACAAAAATGACTTAAGTAGGTGTTTCAGATATTGTGGGAGGAGTAATACATTGGGCACAAAATGAAGACTGCAAATAAACTCCATGTGCTCTGCATGTATGTAGGGTCCCTGCACTAGTCTGATGGAGAGTGGCTATGGGGAGGAGCTTGCCATCTTGCCCGTACTGTCACCAGGTGAGTGGGTCCTGTGTGCATCAATCACACCTGCTGTTCACAGTGACTGCAGAAATACATGTTTAGCTGTAAGCCAGCCAGTTTTTCTACATGCTAATGTTAAGCCTTAACTCCTCTGAAAAGTGTGGGAAGAAGTATCACAAGATGGGAGAGATGTCAAAACCTACAGACAGGTCTTTGTCAGCCCGTTGACAAACATCTCTGCAACTTGGAGACGAGAGCTTCTTAACGCATTTTCCTCAAACCGTAAGCATATAAATATTGTGAATAAAAAGTGCTCTTTATTATAAACTGCTGACTTAATGGAACTCTTGCCACAAGTAGCAGCCAATGGAATACCAAAGGGGGTATTCATATATTAGATTTCAAGGTCTGCCAGCATGGCCAATGGCCAGAGATTATGGGTGTGGCAGCCAACATCTGAAGTGCCATAGTCTTCCTACCCTTGGGTTAGATTATGGCCACCATAGTTGCACAGAATTGGGTATTCTAAATTTACATGGCTACAAACAGCTAGAGGACATTGCCTACTGTCATTTTCTCTGAAATCTAGAGCTAGTCTTGCCAAGCATCCTGCCAAGGCTAAAGGGAACTGGCTCTGATTTTAATTTAAAGCGGCAATCCAAATGCACTGGATTGGAAGCCCCTTCTATAACCAGAAGGGAATACTTTGGATTGTGACATTAAGCTGCCTTGTGTACATTCTAATGTTCATTATGATTTACAAGTCCCATCGGAGTAAATTCTACTCTTATCAATTAGACTCCTTGCTATTTCTCTGTCCCTTCAAAGTATTGGTAAGCTTGGGTGTTATTTATTTCAAACACAAAGGCAACAATGTGCTGAAGCCCTTTTACAGTGGTACCTCGGGTTACAGACGCTTCAGGTTACAGACTCCGCTAACCCAGAAATACCGGGAGGACCTCGGGTTAAGAACTTTGCTTCAGGATGAGAACAGAAATCATGCAGCAGTGGTGCGGCGGCAGCAGGAGGCCCCATTAGCTAGAGTGGTGCTTCAGGTTAAGAACAGACCTCCAGAACGAATTAAGTTCTTAACCCAAGGTACCACTATACTTCCTAGGATCAGAATCAGTTCATTTTATTCTCCACATATTCATAATCATGGCTTGACTAAATGTCCTTGCAGTCTTTGCCAATTACTGGCTCTCATCTTCTATTGCATCCTGTACACGGTACAACTTTGTGCCAGAAGCAAAGAGGGCTTTTCATTTATTGAAAATCCTTAGAAGGTAGAGAAAAGGCCAGCGAGATGGTTTTGGTATTAAGGTTTCTCTAGTGTTATGAGCTACTGTTGCCAGTCTGAAGGGGGGCAATTATGTCTTAACAGCAGGAATTACACTGAGGTGCTTGTTAGATGCCCCCAGAGAAACAATACCTTTGGGGGAATTTTATTTAATCCTCTTAATCTCTTCTGGAGTAGCAGGCACGTAGCTGAGAACAAAGGAAGGTTCAGAAGTTTGTAGGTTTCTACATAAAGCATGCAGCCTGAACTATACCAGTTGCCTAAACTGTGGGCATCAAAAATAGAAACTTGTAAGCAAATATATGGCCAAAATCTGACTGGCACAGTTTTTTCCTCATAAATGCAAGTAGTTCCTGACCTTGCACACATCTGGGTTCATGGGGCGAAACTTAGCTGGCAATTATTTTACATATTGCAGTGATTCCCCGTTGCTGTCTCTGAATGAGGCTGAGTGTGTGCTGCTGGCTTAACATTTCCTGTTATGAGCTGTGTTCCTAGCAGGGAGACCGGATAAGATGGGAAAAGTAGAAGAGGGGCTACTTGCTGTTGAAGGACAAGCTTCATCTGCTGAAACATTGTCCCTCTTCTACAAAGTTATTGAAGTCGGTTATTATTTGCATCCAGTCTACCTAGCTTAGCTGCGCAGCACTATGGATGACACAGGCTGTTGGTAGGGAACAGCCAGCCTTACTTGGCCAGTAGACTTGTGGAACACGAGAGAGAGAGGGGGGGGCTAGGGCTGCCCCATAGCCTGGTGGAGGACCTACACAAACCTGGCGATGGCTGTCACCCTTGTTCCCATAGGACATCTACAGAGGTGGTCTGTGTATAAAGGAAAATGAGTGAGCCTTGAGAGAATCACCTTCTAATTCATCACCAATATATTGAAAGCCACAAACTACATAGAAGATTAAACACTGGTTCAAAGGAATTCAGATTCAGTTCTTTATCAAGCTTCAACTCCAGTTCTACAAATACTCCAGGCTTAAGAAGCTGATTGTACTGTAATAATACATCCTATTAGCATAGCTCAGTTATAGCTAACATCTGGCTCCCCACATGTTGCTGGACTCAAAACTCCCACTTGGTCATGGTGGCTTGGGCTGATTGGATTATCAAACTACATCTCAACCACATCAGTAGCGAAGGCCTGAATCTTACCCAAGTGTTTCTTAAGGTTTGGGGTTATTTTTGTTGCCCATTCTTCCCGCACAGGGCGGGTTGCATAAATGTGTAGCTGTAGTATATTAAATTTGCCAACCAAGAGGGGATTCCTCCATGTAGGTGCATTTTAACCTATAATCTGAAGTGGCTGAGGAAATGCAATACCAAAGATACCATCTAGAGTAGCGTAGCCACTCTCAGAAATGTGCAATTTCTAAGAGATGGGTTTATGTTTGATTCCCCCGCCCCCCCACACAACAACAATCAGATGGCTAAGAGCCAAATGGCAGAAATCTCCATTATGATACCCAGCAGACCTCTACTAAAAGGGGGGAAAGAACTGCGGCATATTGTGTGCATCAAGGAAAACCACAGGTTTATCTGAAATCTTAACAATTTCCCTGTTTTATTTGCATGGGAAAAAGCTTTTCTTCCTTATGCTGCTGCCGCAGCTGCTATATTCAATCTAGAGTTGTGCCAGATTTCCATTTGCACTAAATCACAGCTATGGGTACCTTTCCAAAACAGTAATGTTGTATAGCAGGTCATTGAGATTCTTTGTTCATGTACTAGTGGAGCTGGCAAGCATTGAAGCATCTGCCTAACAATATTTCTTTTAAAAAAATAATCTTTATAGAAATGCTTTCCCATGTCAAAATGAAAACTTCTTGCATGATGGGTAGGCAAGTCGTGTTCCATTTCTAGGGTAGGTTTTTAATCTTTACAGATTTCGTATCTAATTTAGATATGCATTAGATTAGGCTTCCTTCAAACTTGGCCCTCCATATGTTTTTGGCCTACAACTCCCATGATCCCTAGCTAGCAGGACCAGTGGTCAGAGATGATGGGAATTGTAGTCTCAAAACATCTGGAGGGCCGAGTTTGAGGAAGCCTGCATTAGATTGGCCTAGCTGTTCCAAACGCTGCATGGACTCCGCTATACAGCTGCAAATGAAACGTTTTAAGTGTGTTGCAAATTGCAATATACAAATGTGACATTAGATGGCGACAGTGAGCTATGGCAAATTCAATGTATTTTTTTCAATTTTTTTTTTTAAAGCGTTTTCACAAGTGTGTAAATTCCACCCATGTATCTCCACAGTGATAGATTCTGTATAAAGTGGTACCTCAGGTTAAGTACTTAATTCGTTCCGGAGGTCCGTTCTTAACCTGAAACTGTTCTTAACCTGAACCACTTTAGCTAATGGGGCCTCCCGCTGCCGCCGCGCCGCCGGAGCACGATTTCTGTTCTCATCCTGAAGCAAAGTTCTTAACCTGAAGCACTATTTCTGGGTTAGCGGAGTCTGTAACCTGAAGCGTATGTAACCTGAGGTACCACTGCAACTGTATACAGGCAAGATTCCTTCTACGCCAGCAGAGCATTGCCTAAGGCTACGTTTTCCATGGTACTACCTGTAAAAATGCATTGCGTTGGATCAGGACTTAGCTATACATCAAACAAATGAGATGCAAACATGAGTAACCCAAGTCCTATTTATTTCAATGGGCCTACTCTAAGCAACTGGGCAAAGCAATCCTAGTTCTCTGCTGCCCCTGCTGGGGCTTTTTGGACTGGGTAGAGGTGGTCCCTTGGCCCACCTCTTCCAGCTAAACCTGCCCCCCAGCACCTCTGCAACCGGAGTAAAACAAGTTTCACTTTGTAGGTGTGGTTTCCCCCTGCGCAGACAGTAGGAGTACCCTTCATGGCATGCCCACCAAGAGTGGACACCGACATACAAACATTTCCCAGTACAGTCGTACCTTGGAAGTCGAACGGAATCCGTTCCAGACGTTTGTTTGACTTCCAAAACATTTGGAAACCAAAGTGTGGCTTCTGATTGGCTGCAGGAAGCTCTGTTGGATGTTCAGGTTCCAAAGAATGTTCACAAACTGG